GATGAGGATAGTATTCCATTGTTATTATCATTTGTCATTTCCAAAAAGCAGCTTTTCATGTTGTCTGAATATAGTAATAGTATAATGAATGTTCATAAGCCTGCTAGGTTAGTCTTAAAAACAATACTCACCACTAGCAAGACTCACTTTCTTATATGTTCCAGAGAAGGTGGGGCTGCTGCGGGGCCATCTCTTGCCTCAGCTGGCCTTGCTATGGTACCAGGGACTATGCCCAGGGCGGAGCCTGGAGGCCAAGTCTTTAATCCTTCACCTACCCCTACACCGTAGTAGCCTGAAGGCATCCTCACTTCTAGCCTTATTTGACAGATTCCCAGTAAACCAAGATCTTGGCTCAACAGAAGTTTTTTCAAACTTCGAAATGGTTGAAAAAAAATGTAATTGTTCAGATGAAGTTGTCAGCCAATGGGCAGACAAAATCAAACCTTGTAGATGAATAAGTGGCGTTCCATCTGTCATGTTGTTGTTGGGTGCCATCCAATTGATTTCAACTCATAGTCCTATGTGACAGAGTAGAACTGCCCCGTAGAGTTTCTTGGCTGTAATCTTTATGGTAGTAGATCGCCAGATCTTTCTCCCACACAGCCACTGGATGAGTTTGAACCACCAACCTTTCGGTTAGCAGCCAAGCTCTTAATTGTTTGTGCCACCAGGGTTCCTTCCATCTGTCTTAACCGATTAAACCCATTGCCAGCGAGTCGATTCCGACTCATAGTAATCCTACAGGATGGAGGAAAACTGTCCCATGTGGTTTCCAAGACTATAATCTTTACAGAAGCATCTTTCTCCCGCAGAGTGGCTAGTGGGTGTCGGTTAGCAGTTGAGTGCTTAACCATTGCTCCACCATAGTAATTTGGATGGAAATCCTCAATTTACAATATAGGGGTTATCAATAACTCCACCCTCTCCCTCTATCCCAGGGGATTCTAAGCATAGCAGTGGGAGTAGGCCTTTCCTATTTCCAAAGCGCAGTGGCTGTGCTCATGATAAGGCTTAACTGGCCTGTAGCAGGAAGAGGTAGGAATGAAGACAACCAGCATTCTCTGAGCATCTATTACTCACAGTCACTGTGCTACCTTTGTGAGGTTCACAATGTTGTTAGGTGCCGTTGAATCAGCCTCCCAACTCATGGTGACCCCATAAACAACAGAACAAAACACTGCCCAGTCCTGCACCATCCCCATGATCAGTTGCATTTGGAACCGGCGTGATTCACAGGGTCTTCATTGGCTAATTTCGGCAGTAGATTTCCAGACATTTCTTCCTAGTCCCTCTTAGTCTGAAAGCTCCGCTGAAACCTTTTTAGCTTCATAGTGACATACAAGCCTCCACGGACAGATGGGTGGTGGCTGCACATGAGGTGAATTGGCTGGGAATCAAATGGGTCTCCCACGCGAAAGGTGAGAATTCTGCCTCTGAACCACCAATACCTCTCCTGTTATATCTAGATGGGGGGTGAGGAGGGACAGATCTCCTGAGGGTTTATTCTGGAAAGACGGAAGACATATTTATACTTCCTTTTTCTTACAGGGACTAATGGGGAGGAAGACCTGCCTAAGATTTGTATTGCCTTAAAGACAGAAACTTCACTTCAAAGCTTTTATCTGTTCCTTGTGCTTACAGAAGCAGGACCCGGAATAAATGCCCCTTGTGTGGTAGAGCAAGTTCATAAGCTGTGAAAACACCCGCGAGTTATGTGGTGTGGAGAGTGAGAGACAGACTACTGTGCACAGTCACAGGGATTTGAGGGTTCAAGACTGGGGGAGAAAAGTCTTGGTACAGGGAGAAATCCAAGAAGACAGAGGCAAATCCAGGCCTAAGGAAGACACCAAACCAAAGCCGCTGCCATCGAGTCAATTCCAACTCATAGTGACCCTATAGGACAGAGTAGAACTGCCCCATAGGGTTTCCAAGGAGTGGCTGGTGGATTTGAACTGCCGACCCTTGGGTT